GAAGAATAAGTCGGCCGGCAGAGAGGTGCCGTGTTGAAGTTTTTTGGTTAGCATCTTTCAAGGTCAGCGTTAACAGCTAGTCTGCACAAGTTAATTTCGACCAGCCAGCCCAGCCTAATTACTGAAGCACGCGTAGTAACAATTAATTCTGCAGCTGCATTATGGAACGCACGTAGCCTAGTTACAGCGACCTGAGTCACTCATTCTGACCAGTGAGAGAGATGTACTAAATGTATAATTCTGTTACCTGTAAATGTGATAGAGGGAGTGAGGCACCCAAGTGACTTTAGAAATAAATGGGATAATTTTGAGATGTGTTAATAAAGAAGCTGTTTCCTCGAGTAATTTTCTTCATGGCCTGTCACTTATTTATGCGTGCGCCTGCGCTTTTTTTTTTAGACTGCCTCTTCTGATGGTGAAATCTTCCTGGTGAGCCTGGACTGCCTTAACCTCCCCATCCCTACCCTTGGACCCCGCATAATTAGGAAAGTTGTTTGACACTTTGGATTTCTCCCCCTCTCCCTCGCTCGTTCCCGACCCGTCCCCATCTGCTGACTGTGACTCACTGCATGAGACTACAAACAGCAGGCAAGACAGTCTTCAGTATACGGTGGGTATATACGCCAGGTTCTCATTATTCTCTGACTTAACGGGCCCCCTCACCCGTTACAATACTTTTTAAATGAGAATAATACTGGGTGGTGGTTCAAATGCGAATGCGGCATCGGGCTCATTTAACATGATGTTAGGGGAGAAAAAAATCCAAAGCCTTACTCACAGCAGTGACCTAGCCAGGGGGGGGGGCTTGAGGGGCATGTGCCCCCCCCCCACAAATTACCGGTGCCCCCAGGTGTCCCCCCCCACAAAAAACCCACACCACAGAGAGTTGGTGCCCCCATAAGATACTGGTGCCCCTTGTGCCCCCCCCTTAGTAAAATTCTAGCTACGGCACTAACTCACAGTCCCGGTATCCTTGCTCTTATTTGCAGGTATTGTTTTCTTTGGGTTTTGATGCTAATATTTGATAAATGGATTTATAGATTACTTTCTTTCCTACGAACGTATAAAGTATTCTTTGCAAAAAAAAAAAAAAAAGATGGCGGGGGGCCACACAAATTTAACCCCACAATAATGATATTGAACAGGCCGGCATGGAGTCCATCGGTATGAACTGACGTGGATCGAAAATTGAGATCAAGATTGGGGGACATGGTGCCGGGGGATGGGGAGGGTGGCAAAGGAGGCCTAAGGGACAGGAATAATTGTTTTGCTGCGTTTATAACCCTATTAAACTATATAAAATCAAATCTGTCTGACCCTATCAGAATGAATGTTTTGATCTGTGACAAAAACCGAAGACAGTACGGAAAACTTCCCACACACACGTATAATTTTTTTCACATAAATACATAGTACGTATGTGAAACCATGGAGCTATTAAATGGTGAAACTATCACGTTCGCACGTGCATTCCTTTGTGTGCGTGGTGGTAAATATGTTTCCTTTATACGGGAATTCACATCAATGTACTACACACTGAACGTGGCCGTGGCGTGCCGGGGGGGAGGCGCTCGGGGGACCCCCCAGGTTTTCTCCTCACTGCGCCACGCGGAAGTAGTTACTAGAGCTAGCTATATCTAAAGATTAGACCTATCTTGCAGTTCAGCGATCTCCCATTTATCACACAAGAATAATATGTGAATACTGCAAAGGCGTCCTTGGACAAATTATATACTCCCCCCACCAAAATAAAAATTGCGAAGATCCTGAATGTACACTCTAAATGTAACTGGAAGTATTTCTCGCGGCTTCTGAAAATTTAAATTCAATGATTGCTGCCAATAAAATCTATGTAGGCCTACATGAAACATTTTGACCGACAAAGCTACATCATTCATCAGTACATAGTAGGGTTTTTTTCCAAAATTTTGAAATGATAACTTTTTTGAGCGAATATTTTATCGTCACCAATTTATTTGCTCCTAAACACCGTGAAAGTAACTATGTATCTCTTTTCTGATTCAGTTAGTTTTCGTACTAAAAGTCGCGAAAGACTACACAGCATATTTACTTCGAGAGAGGAAGTTTGGATTACAAGTTTTGTCGTTAGCTAGGCGCCACGTGATCTCAATTAATATTCCAAGACAATAGTCGGTACCCAACCCTGCCCCTTTACAGTTCTCAATAAAGTACATAATTCTTCCAGATACCATACTTACCGCCCCAGCCTGATCATGACGTCATTGGGAAATTTTCATCGGCCATATTACGCTCGATCGTGCACACTACGTAATGGTACAAGAATAACGTGTCGCGTCATCTACGGCTAACGTGGTTGATCAACAAGGAAGCGAGGGAGAACTGCTACATTTCAAGATCGGTAAGGCAGAGACACCCTTGAATTCTTCTTTTAAAGGATCGCCCCATGACTTGGAAAGGGTTCACGAGAAGGGGGTATGTAGAAATTGCTTACGAGTAGGCAGTTGGCGGGTGAAAAGTTTGCCACGGTTTGTAGTGAATGATTTCGGCCGAAGTGGTTCCGTGTGTGTTCGTATACTGTGTCCGGCACCAACTGAATGCCCACCTAGTACATCCGTCCATGCTCCGACCTAGTCCTGCACGTCCTAATTCAGTAATTGCAGTACGATTTGTAACAATCTTCACTTGTAGGAAACCTCATCATTTCTGTTTCAAGTATTTTTTTTACATTTTATACGGTGTGTATGACTAAAATAATGTTTGTCATGTAGGCCTAGGCCAATATCATGAATATACTATAGGTAGTATTAGTAGTAAGCCTGGGGCTGGAGAAATCATCCTTTTGCCATTTTGTTGGGGCATGGACATGATGGAGGGAGGAAATGGTTGAGGAAGGTTTGCTGGGAATTAACACACATACCGTACTGCACTTTAGGCCAACATGTAGGACCTAGAAGTAGCAGGATCCTAGGTAAGGACAACAACACGTCACAATTTCAGCTGGTCTAGCATGACAGCATTTCAATTTTCTGTCGGGTGCTACTTTGCTGTTTCAAAACCACTTTTTTTCAGCAACAAAGTCGCATGTCTAACTTTAATAGGCCTACTTTGTTTTTTCATCTGTATGTCGGACTGTTTACCAACTCAACTTGGGACAACTTGATCGTTGAGACAACTTGACAGATGGGACAATTGACCATTAACCCTCCTTTAGTTTTACAGCACAAGTATGCAGAAGTGCCCAAGGTTACTCTCTTGCACATTGGTGCAGCGCACAACACAACACAGCTGTGCTTCTTTGAGGTGTTTATCAAGTGACCCAAAGAGTGACTTCAGCATAGCAGGGTTATGCAAGTTTTCCGTTCAGACAACTTGGCTGTACAAGGCATGAACATGACGTTGTGTGAGGCTGTTAGCACTGATTGTAGATTAATGTTTTGGGGCCAGATTTATGTGTGTCGCGTTACTCTGCTCCGCAACTTGCTGAGCATGATGTGCGCATTGACCTGGTGATGCATACATGGACTGGTGGGAGGCACATCGGCCCCTCCTACCAGCGTGGTGCAGGGCTGTTGGCAGGCACAAGTGTGGGAGACAGTAAATCCATCTCCTTGTCATGGAGTTGTTTCTTTTTCCTTCCTTTCTCTTTTAAATCGAGAGAAAAAAGTGGGCAAAGTGACTGTAAAGTGCATATGCAGTCATCAAGAGTCGACATCTCTCAATCAACGAATAACCCCAATGGTCAGTGTGTCGATTTGAGGCACAGTCAGTCGAGTTGTCCCACCTGTTGAGTTGTCCCAACGGTGGATTTGTCTGAGCCCCTTTCATCCATGTCTTCCACTAATGAGTATATGATTATGATTATATGCAGTTGTAATGTTTTGCTCATTTTTATTGTATTTTAACTAGTATTTTTAATGTGAAGCGTCACTGACAATTTAGTTTCAAGTGACGCTATAGAAATAATAATTATTGTTATTAGAATTGTTATATTATGTGACATGATGAAGATTCTGATATCCCAAGAGTTTTAGAGTCCCTATGGGGTCCGAGGCAGAGTGGGAAGCGTTTTCAGCCTGCATGTTAAGTGCTTATATATGAGGCTTCCTGTGAATTTACATGAGTGCAGAATTTCGTACCCCTACTCTGGGGTTCATCGTCCACTATGCTCTGTGTTGGATGATGAACCATACTCCAGAGTTCTAGGGCTGCAGGATTTGGCATTCCCAAGATATTCCCAAGAAACATCCCATGATAGAAACAAACATGTTCAACTTTCAGTTTGTTGTAATTTGAACGTCTTGCACATTACCCCAGTCTTTTTAGGTGCAGAATGATAGACACCGTCTAAATTACCAGGTCGCTCTATCTCAACCCTACTCGAAACACACCTCATCAGAGCTTGTACACAGTGTTTAAAGAAAAAGGATCCCTCAACATTTGTTACCCACATAATGTCTGCATTCACCAGGATGCCCAACTCATCAGGGCCCAATTTCATGGTGCTGCTTACCGCAGAATTCTGCACTTATGATCTCCATTCTGTGCTAAGTGCAAGCAGAAAAATTCTGCACTAACCCTTTCAACACAGAATCCTTAGTTATGGGATGTACATGTACCTATGAGCACAAGCCAAAATTCCTTGCTAACTCGTGAAATACGTTCAGCGTAAGGGCAGAATTTTCTACTATGGTAAGCACTGATTTTTCGCTTGCGGTAAGCAGCGCTGTGAAATTGGGCCCAAGATGAGTAGATACATTGTACATCTACAAAAAAAGCTTTGAGCTGTTCCTTCTCAAGCAATTACTGAAAAAAAGGGGCCTTATGGCTCATTTTCACAAGACAGTTTACATTTGCCTGTGTAACAAGCTTGCGGGCAAAAAACCTTAAGAAACAGCTTTTGCCACCCGTCGGCAGTAATGATAGTTTTTCTGAAAGAAACGCTTTTTTATGCAATGGCAAGTCAGCTTTTTTTTCATAATCCAAAATTGGGGTTGGTGGGCCCAAAAATTAGGGGTGGATTAAAATATTAAATCATTTTCAATTTTGAATGGCCACTTACATTTTATTAATGAGTCAGTTTAACTGTGTTTTGAGTTGGGTCGCATATCAAACACGAAACATGAAAACCTGAAACTTATTTTCCTTTCAAGAGCATCTTCTTGTATAAGTCAAGTCAGACTGACCAGTTTAAAGTATTCAAATTTTCAATCTGATTTATTGTTTGGCAAGTTAGAGTAACATGTCTATGTATACAGTGATGAAATACAGGTGACTGAGGAATAGCTCCCAAATAAAATTCATTAACATCAATCAGTTTTGCAATATTCCAAATTACTAGCGTACACACACACACACACACACATGAAAAACGACTGGACAGGAAAAACAGAATATGCGTAGAAGTTTGCTTATTGCAGCTGGGACCCATAATGTATCCAGAAAAGTACCGAATTTGATCGGAAGCAATTTGACTTGAGTATACAAGTGGGTTGTTTCACTGTGTATCTGGTTAAATTGATGAATCACCAGTCTCGCTGTTGGGCATACCTGCTATTGATAGTTTGGAATGATGTCATCATTGTGGGGTCAGCTGAACGGTTGTGCACAGTGGACACACAGCATGCTTTCTTGGGACAAAAAGTGTCAAATTTAGGTCGTTACCAGTCGCCTGAGTTGTGTGACCCCGAGTCACGAAACTTTACAAAAGTGTCAAATTATCAACTGGCTGGGTTAGGTTTTGAAGACTTACATGTAGTTTCTACACACATGCATTCCTTATGATTCCAAAAGACAGATGTGAATGACATTCTGGTTATGTATTTGCATTCTGTGTCCATACAGGGAATCATTGTTTGGGGGAAAAGATTAGCTTGGCAGAATTTGATGATAGCAAGGCATCATGGGAGACAGCGGAAAGCCATTTGCCTGCACAGAAATTGGCTGTAACCAGGTTTGTATTTCTTGTTTTGCAAATTTATAGTTGGAGAATTCTGAGTCTGAAATACAAGTCATGTTCTTCATGTTGTTGACCCACATTGAAGTCAGGGTATATTTCTAACTTTTCACAGTGTATTGGTTGCACATTGCCTCAACAGTTTGTCGATGGCATGAAAAAAGTTGTTTGATTTCCCTTCCTTGACAGAATCAGAAATTTTCATACCTGTGTGTTCTCCGTTTGATTTCAGCGTTTTGTGAATGAGGATCACCTGGAGGTGCACAGGAGGAAACATGAGATGTCACTGGGACTCCGAGACCTAAAATCATTGGACACCCCTGTTATTGGTAGGAATTACTGTTGAACCATCTGAAAAAGTGTGTTCCTGAATGTGGGCTTGTATCAATTCTCTCCGAGTGTGACTTTTTTCAAGGCAGACAGGCCAGTGACTTCCACATTGGATGCGTTTGGAGAATGCAGCACCCTGTCAGAAAAGTCTCAAAATGAATGTCAGAAAAGTCTCAAAAGTTAGGGGGTGGATCAGATGATAGAAAGGCACTCATTTGAGCCATATAAAAAATAGCTGTGCTACGGTGGCTGGGCGGATAAAATTTCTGTTCTTCTCTTGAAGGATTTTTATCCGAAATTGTTAAGGTTAGGATGATGGTCAGTTTTGGCGACATTGTCAGATCTCTTTACATGTCAATGCAACATATCAGCAATGCATAATCACTGGTTGAGTTAAGATGGTCTTCATCTGGAAAATGGGTGGTTGTGGGAATAAATGCATATAACAACAAGCCCCTTTGGACGGCTTTTTTTATTAAAACCTAAACATGTATAAACGGGCTCTGGGGTGTTGCTTTGTAATTGATTTTGTAATTGATTTTCCAAAATAGAAAGCTATAAGTTCTGCATGATTAGCAGATTTGGTCTGGTAACTGGAACACGAATCTTCTTGGTTGGCGTTTGCAGTTTCTGTTCTTTGCATTTTTCTGAGTGCATTTGCCGTGGTAGCTTATGTATACCTCCTCTACAGTGTGGCAGACATTCACAGCTCATTTTGTTCATCTCTTTAGAAATCTTCATCTCTCGGTATTATTTGGTCCTTTTCCCCCTTTGATCCACAGCGGACCAGACGCCCACCCCGACACGATTTCTGAAGAACTGCGAAGATGGGGGCCTCTTCAGTGAACCTCCAAATCCATTTGATGCTCTGTTCCGCAAAGCCAGCGCCTTCAGAGTAAGGGTCCAGATTTATCTCCATCTTTTGAGTTGTCAATGTTGAGGTACATTTCTCTTTAATAATCATCATCATTGCAATCCTCTTCATTTTTTTTTGAGTACTTGAAGTTTCTCAACCACACACTGCAATTCTTAAACAAGAATCATGCTCAGTGTTAAGAAAAAAAGATCCAACAGGTCAACCGTGCCCGGTCCAGATGGTGTAAAAGAGTCCAGTCCTGCATCCAGTCTCATGGTTGAACTATGGCATTGTCTAAGAAAGATGTAGTTCCCGTTGTATCTGAAAGATAGTTTTGCTGTTGAGCTGTTTTGCATAGTATGGTCCTTCAGATATGCACACTGTTTGTAAGCTATTGCTTTTAGCGTAGATAAGGTCTACTGGGCCATCTTTCCAAGCATGAATGCAGTTATAAGTACTTGACCCTAACCCTTCCATTTCCGTTGAATTCCACCAAGAGGTTTTGGAGAGTTTGGTGGGATCGAGAAGCTAGTCCCCGTTACATTGCGATTGATGTTCATTGAAGTCAAAAGTGTGTGTCACTTGTGCACTGCACAGTGGTTGACCGTGAAGGATTCAGGGAAAAAGGTTCCTTGAAAAAAAAATCAAATTTGATTTATTCCTCTCTCTTTGTTCTCTCGTGTTCAGGCTACTGATGCCACAGACATGTCCTCCTCCAAGGTAGGGGAGACGACCTTGGACATTGGCGAGTCGGTTGTGGAGATCAACAGGGACTCCGAGCACACCGCTGAGGAGTCCTCTCAGCAGGCCGTCTCCTCTACAACGGGTGACGAGGCGGCCCAGCTGGGGCAGGCAGTGATCCTCGGGGAGATGCCCCCAGGGGAAGAGGATGTAGCGGGCCTACCAGGGCAGGTGGTGGAAGTGTCCACCGTCTCCCAGACCTCCCAGGAAGTACTGCCATCCCTGCAGCCGGCCCCACCTACGGTGATCCAGTCCCTGGCACCAGCAGTACAGAGCAGGTGAGGAAAACTTTCTTAGAAAGTCATAACACTGCATGAGCAGTGTTGTCTGAGAGGTTGCGATAAACTTCACAAGCTTACTCAGGTGGGACGTGAATCCACCACCTTCTGCTAACTAGTGCAGACGTCTTAACCACTTGACCCCAAAGCTTGCCAGGGTTGGCTGGCCCGGTCGAAGTCAGATGTAGTACCAGGTACACTTTTTTGCATTGGGAAGATGTCACTTTTCAATGATGATCACTGACGTGAGTCCTGGAAAAAATTAACATCTTCCCTGATGCAAAAAGATTTTTTTGTTGTGTGTGCCAGAAGCTCATTCAAATGAAACATGAATTGCATGACCAAAATCCGTCCGATAACACCTTGTCACCATCCATATTTAGATCAAACTTTTAATGGCTGATCCCGGCACATATGAGCTTAGTGATGCAGAACAAATCATGGTTTTTTTTTTCAAAATCTAGTTACTTGATCCCAAGGTCGATTGTGACACTTGGTTGAATCTGGTGTTCTTGTCCCTACTTGCCAATTTTCACCATGAACACCCTTCTGTTTCATTCCAGCTTGTGCATTGTATTGACAGGGGCTGATGTGATTATGTGGTTTTTGTGGTCATTTCAACTGGGCAGGAAGAAGGCATGGCTAATTTTCCATCTGAATGTGCAGAACCTGAGATGATTTGGCATTGGGGCTGGGCACTCACTGTAGAAGTTGCTCTCAG